CACCAACAAAGGGGCAGATGTGAGATGACCGAGGGACCTGGAAATAATCAACAACTCGGCCTTGATACTTTCGGCGAAGGAAGAGCTCCATCCTGGAGAACTTCTCGTCATTCGAAAGGTCAGCTGCGTGAGGGCAGATCGGCGGTGCGTATTGATCAGGGCCTGTCGTTGGTAGGTTGTTGAATCCAGAGGCAGCAACTGCTGTAAGAGCGCCGCTTTGAAGCACACGGACAGGGCTATGAAAATTGGGAAGTCAGCAGCTGTAAAGCGAAGGTATTGAAAGCCTCGCACCGTGTCCAGGGAGTCCAAGAGGCTGTTGCAACGTCGTAGGTGACCATTTCTTCGTTTTCGTTGTGGCTATGGAGTTCCCGGAGGAGGGTACGATGATTCTGTTTCATAAAGCCTGGGCGTGCAGCGTTACCGCGCAAAAAAGGAGTGGAGCGGATTGGGGCCATTGTGTATTGGCAACGACTCTGGAGGGGGGGATGAAGCTTCGTTAGTACATCTGAAAAACTTGTTGAATATATACTTGCCTATGCCTTAGCGTTGCAGCCCCCAAGCCCTGAAGAGCCCCCTGTATAAACTACCATATTCAGGCCACCAGATCCTTGAAGACGGGTTGTCGTTCAGAGGATTGCCTAGCAAGGATTGCCTCGCAGCCTTCCAAACCACCAAGTAGTTACAACGTCGTTTGTGGAGAATCCGTTTTTTGGAATATTAAAAGCGAGGGCGTGGCCGTGCATCCATACGGGAAGGAGAATGTTTATAGACGTTCTTGAAGAATGCTGGAAATGACAGTGCAGAGGCCGCGCACCTCCGCGCACCGCTGATGCGAACGGGTGCGCCGGTGGGATAAGTGCGTGGGATCATTGATATATATTTGTATATAGCATTATAACTTAGCTAGTATACTTAGCAAGTGTCAATGCCACGCGCCTTCATTTCCCCTTTCATTTGATGCCATCGAACAAGAATAATCGTCAGTGGACTCCTCTTCCAAATTTTGAGACGTTGCGAGCTGTCATTTTTGACAGGTCGGGACCCTGCCGCACGTTATAATTGCCTATTCTGTCATGCTTGGCATGCGGCACTTCGGCATCATTACAATATAGCACTGAGCTCTTCAAGGCTCTTCGACGCGATTGTTCTGCTTAGTGACTACATTGCCTGTAATCTACTCTTTTTCCTGATTTATTGCTGCATTTCTCCGTTTAATATGTGTGGTTCCGCTTTGTTCGACTGAAGTTTTCCTTACTCGCAGTGCTCTCTATTCACCGTTCTCTAGCGCTCAACTAGCGCTGATAAAGTTAAGTATCTGGAGACTGGGCCTCATTTCTTCTTCGTCCAATCCTTTGTCCTCTATCTCGATACCATACAGATTGAAAACAGAGCGGGATCCTTGAGGAAACGAGGGTTAGATATGGTGTTGATATGGCTTATCAGATTGAACATTAATTCAAGATATTGATCTCAAATCAGCAATTTTGGGCGTTGTGGAAATGTAAATATTCGTGCTCAAACTCCGACTGACGTCGCTTAGCTTTCAAGTTCTAAATAATTCAAGTTATCGTTATGGAAAGTCACCCAATGTTGAACAATTTTCAGTTTGCGAAACGGGCATGGAATGTCAAATACTTCTTTTATCCACGCCAACAGTCCCACATAAATCACTGCATGCGGACGAAGGCTGAAGATCGTCTCCACTACTTTCAAGGCTTGTTTCATGAATAACGTTAGGCGCTCTATAGATCACAGCCTTGCTACCAGTCCTCGAAAAGATCTAACGGTTATTAAAATAGAATCAGAGGCGAGTGACAGGACGAAAAACAAGGATATAAAGAGCTCAGAAATCTATACGGGCCCCCCACCAACACCTCAATAGTAGTGCACCTCCTCCCTCTCCCTTCCGCGCATCAACGGCGGCTCCGTGCCCTTATAGTAGATATCCGTCCACAAATCCTTCAGCTCCGGCTCCGGGCTCGTCTTCGCCTCCTCCACCGCCGCGTCCACCTCCGCCTTCGCCGCCTTGTCCAGCGCCTTCAGCTCCTGCTCCGTCGCCAGGCCCCACTCCTCGATGTACCGCTGCAGCCCCCGGATCGGGTCCTGCGTCGAGCGCATGCGCTGCACCTCCTCGCGCGTGCGGTAGGTCGTGCCCGGGTCGGACATGCTGTAATCACAGAGCTAGGGATCAGGAATTGTGTACGGAAGAAACGGGGGAGGGACGTACGAGTGTCCTCCGTAGCGGTAGGTCACGAATTCGAGGAGCAGGGGGCCTTTCTCGTCGTCGACGGCCCACTTGCGGGCGTACTCGACTGCTTTCTTGGTAGCGATGATATCCATACCGTTGACCTATCGAAGAAAGATAGCAGGTTAGTGATTGTCCGGAGAGCGCGGCAGTGGATATGAAAAATGGCAAGGAACACGTCGGGCCGATAGATACTAAAGATAGTCTCTGTTGATGGAACGGAACAGACGGGTCCGTAGCCGCTGGCTACGATGTACAGAGAAAGTAGAAGATAAGAGAACAGACGAACCTGGAGGCCAGGAATCTTGTCACCACGCGTGAAGTACTCGGTGTTGGACGAGCTGCGCGCGGCAGAGGTACCCATACCGTACTTGTTGTTCTCGCAAACGAAGATCGTAGGGAGATTCCACAGCTTGGCCTAACAATAAAAAAATGAATATCGGCTTCGTACATGCACGGAAGAAGATATGCGCACCATGTTGAAAGCCTCGAACACTTGACCTTGGTTACTCGCACCATCACCGTAGAGGGCGAAAGTGCAGGTCTTTTCGCCCATGTACTTTTGGGCGAAGCTGACGCCAGCTCCTATTGGGACCTGGGCACCGACGATGCCGTTTCCACCAAAGAAGGAGGGGGTGAAGATGTGCATGGACCCGCCCTTTCCATGGGACATCCCGGCTTGGCGTCCCAGAAGCTCGGCAATAACACCCTTAATGGAACCGCCACGCATGACAGCGAAGGGATGGCAGCGGTAGGCGGTGATGACACGGTCATCCTTGGTGATACCATGCTCCAGACCGACGGAAACGGCTTCCTATAGGTACGGGACACCAAACTCGTCAGCACGATAATGATACGACCGCACATGGAGCCACAACACGAACCTGGCCGATAGCGAGATGGCAGAAGCCGCGGATGAGCTTGGCCTTGTAGAGGGCGTCGGCGGCCATCTCCATGCGGCGCATGGTCGTCATCTCCCTGTACATCGTCAGCAGCTCGGCCTTGGTGACCTGCACGTCGAGGTCGGGGGCGTCGCAGAGGTAGGAGCGGAAGGACTCTTCATGGAGCTTGAGGGTGATGGGCTCGGCGAGGTCCGCGGGCAGGTCGCGCAGCTCGGTGGTGTCGGCGGACGTCTGGACGCTGCGGATGTGCGCGCGCAGGGCGGCTGGGCGGACCTAGACGAGAAGAGCGGAAGAGTCAGTCTGGGCTGCTGTGGATGGGCGGTGAGGAAAGGATACTGACTAGTCTACTGGAGAATCTTGTGCGCGCCAACGAGGCCATTTTGGTGGAGGTGGAAGGAGTGCGACGTGGACGAAGACGCGTAAAATAGAAAACCCCAAAATATTACATACGCAATGGGGTGCCCGTGGGAATATCCTTCGCGTCAATGCGGACGGGGATCTTATCTTATCTATTGACCATATTGGTCATTTTCACACTCTTCCACCATGATGACCACTTCCACGCGTCGCGACGGACGCAAGAACGTCGACATACGCGCCTTAACGATATCCTACAATGAACTAGCTCGAGTGGACGGGTCAGCGCGCTTTGCCTTTGGTTCGTACCGCACTCGTTCGTCGCTTTCTCGACTACCACTGACTCCACCGCAGGCGAAGACACCTCCGCCCTGGCTTCGGTTTCTGGGCCAATCGAAGTACGCCTGGCGTCGGAACTGCCTTCCAAAGCCACTTTCGAGGTCCTCGTGCGGCCGCTCTCCAACGTCCCCGCTACAGAAGCGAAACTGCTGGCGGCGACAATCAGAGCGACGCTGGAGCCGTCCTTGATTCTCACCAGGAACCCCCGTACGCTGGTCCAGCTCGCCGTCCAGTCACTCAGTTCCCCGTCGGTATCTGCGTGGAAAGACACCCTCACCGCGGCGATGGTCAACGCGAGCACGCTGGCCTTCCTGCAGGCCGCGTCCGTCCCGATGCAGGGCGTGGTAGCTGCGGTGGCCGTGGGGCGCTTGAGCGACGGGTCGCTCATCGTCGACCCAAGCGAGGACGAGACGGGCGCGCTGCAGGCGTGTGGCGGGTTTGCGTTCATGTTCTCCGGTGCGACCCAGCTCAAAAAATCGGATACCGATTGTGTTTGGTCGAGCTGGAAATCGACAACAGGAAGATATAGTCAGGACGAGCTCTTCAAGGCGAGGGAACTGGCCAGGGTTGGGGCTACGGCTGTGTACGATGAGATGCGAAGAAATCTCGGGGATCTGAATTATGCGACAGAATTTTGGATATCGGCCACTCAGGTGAAAGAGGAGGAAGATAGTTTATCAGAGGACGTTAAGATGGAAATCTAACGGTGCGCAAATAAATTTCTGGTCACATAGCTGCACAATAACAATATGAACCACAAGCACTTCCATATTTAAACCTGAGTGGCAGTCAATGCTCAATAGTATATACCACTTTCATCTGAACCGGGGCCTCCAGCATAGAGTCTTGATATCGCAGACGCCTGGCTGACGACAGCCGACGGCTGGTGCTTGATATCCTTCCATCTCGGATGTCATCTTCTGGAGTATTTTCTCGTCGAGTCTTCGAGCGCGTTGTTCAATAAGAATTATCTGTGCCCCTGATCTAATCTAGGATGCAGCGTCGGATGACCTGGAAGGGTTAATTACAAGTATTAACATTGATGAACGTAGATGATACTGTCAGTGAATGCGCCAGCAGGGATATCGTTGTTGGACTTAAGGACCAAGGTCGTAGCATCAAATTTGCCGGGAAAAGAAGAAAGAAAAAAGATGAGGCGACGCCAGCAGGATTTGAACCTGCGCCCTCAAAGAGGAACAGATAGGAGCGACTTTATGTTGTAATTCTAATCTGTCGCCGTAACCACTTGGCTATAGCGCCTATTCTCAAGAAAGAGAGAGGCGAGCTCCCGGCCCATCACCGTCATTATGTTTTCTGGTTCCGACCCCAAACCGAAACGTGGTTTCTCTGGACCAACGCTGTTGAAGCTTTCCTCTTGGTGCCTGCTGGTATCTTTGACTTGCCTATCTGTACAGCAACTCGCTCCTGGTTACCGCCAGCATGCAGTACTGGGTGGGGTTGCTCCGTGCGATTATGAACGTCCGGAAAGCTTGCCTGAAGGTGCAAACAGAAGCGACCTTGTATTTGAAGCCTCGAGGACCGATAGTATCGTGCTAGCGTCGTGCAATTGCTACATCTTGGACAGTCTCATTGGTAAACCCATCCTTTACTTCCCATGTCTGATCAGATCATGCTCGGCGCATTTCCACAAGAGATCTACGAAGACATCATTCGCCACCTGCGGGACTACCCCATCTCCCTCAGCGCCACGGCGCTTACCTGCTCCCCTCTGCTCTGCGCCTCGCAGAAGCACCTCTTTTCACGCGTCGTCCTCTACCCATCCTTTCCGAAGAAGGGCGCTACCGCATCGCAACTCCAGCGGATGCTGTCTGGCTCTCCGCACGTCGGGACGTATGTGGACTATCTAGAGCTCCACATGTGCGTCGGCCGATGCCAATGGGCGAGCTGGATTGCGTCTCTTGAGTATTGTCTTCGCCATCTATCCCAACTCAAAGCGTCGGTCATCAGAGTCGATCAGACTCAGCCGTTTTCCGGTGGTTTTACAGTGAGCGCACCGGAGGACCGTGAAGGCGCGAACAGGGTAATGCGGGCTTTGGTGCAAACGGTGCAGTTGTCATCGCTCGTGTCTCTGGACACCTACCGTTTCGACGTCTCCCCGTTGCTTCATCGATGCTGGAACATCAGGGAACTCAAGCTTTCGCAGCCCATACTGCCCACTATCTCGGGCGATACTCCCATTGAGCAAACCCCGTTCAAGAGGCTCATCTACACGATTGCCCCTTCGTATATCTGGAGGCTCTCCGCCTAGAACTATCCTGTGAGAGCCGCAACCGCGACACCATGATTTGGCGCACGCTATACAGTCCTTCAAGCCGGCTTGAACACCTCATTCTCATCGACCACAGCCTCGGCCGGGAACACTTGCACTTTGGTAACTGGCGTCCCCCATTGCCCATGTACTGTGCGATGGAATGCGCTTTCCCGAGTTCAAGAAGTTCTCTTGGTATGCCTGTAATGTCGTCACTGACTATCTGCAAAATCATATCTTTGCGGGCATGCATTCGGATTTGAATGACGCTCTCCCGTCTGCGGTGGACCTGGGAGTTTGAGATTTGGTATAATGCATGATCTTATTATGGAAATTATAGTATTGATCAACTCATTACGGTTATTCGGCTTTGAATCAGTTATCGACCAGTCCTTCGTGCTCTCGTCCAGGGAGTGTAGATGTCGGAAGTAGAAAAGCTGCGGAAAAGATTACGATGTTTTTCCCTACTGCGATACTTCAGATGGATACCCCTCCGGCACATTGTTTGGAGGTTGACTCGTGGCAGACAGACACACCTACCGATGAACAACCTCTGCCCCCTTGTGTACGTTTAGTGACTCCCTGGATTCGGCAACCATCATATCAGTCGATCGCTTGAATTCTTTAAGATAAATTTTACGTGTAGATAGTAAAGGTAAGGTGCACTGGGAGTATGTCATAACCAGACGACTTGATAAATTCAATAGCCGCGTATACTGTGCGCGATGGAAAACCACAAATTACATGCGCGATGCGCGAAGACCCAGAAGCTACCAGATGCGAACCTGTAGGTAAGAACAGAACAGCGGCAGGTGGCTAACCATCGCGCCCATCAAGTTGGTAGGCTGGAGGGGGACCCAAGCCATTGCCAGGCGTCGTATTATTCGCCGGTGCATAATCACTTCGACCGTCCGTCCGCCGTATACTAGTCATATCCGCAGACTCCACGCCATATCGCGTAGAAGCGCGTCCGTCTTGGTCTTGCACATTTGGCGGTAGTTGGGGGGGCTGTACTCTGGGAGACGTGATGTTGGCGGGGCGGCTCGAAGGGGGGTGGAATGGCGTAGGGTTGGGGGGATTGTAAGGCATTGCGTACGGATTGGAGTAGTCGGGATACGATGAGCCGCTATATGGCCTTGCGGCCGGGTAAGAACGCGCTGGGGGAGGCACGTAGGGAGGTTGATGGCCTGCGTAGATATTTGGGTTCTGTGGATATTGCGGAACGGCCGTGGTGGCCAGGTGCGCGTTAAACAACCTTCTTCTTCCTGTTGCGACAGCGTTGAGTATGTTGTGAAGACTTAGGAGGTCTAATGATAGAACGTACGCATTCTCCGTATGAACATGAACCTCAGCAGCGCACCAATCACGGATATGAACACGAGCGCAATGATAGCCCCGACGTAGATTGTCCTAGAATCCTGCGTTGGGTTCGACATGATGGGGAGAGAAAACGTTCTGGGTCGTTCAGGTACCTGTCCCTTGCGTTACCTACCCAGCGCTGTCATGTCCCGTGGTTTTTCTTGACATGTATGATATGCAGTGCGTCGCTAAAAATAGAATACATTGTAGGGCAGTGCAGCCTGTGTTCCCGCAGGAGACTTGGGTTCGCACATGCTTGTGGATATACTATATGCGAGTATCCCACTAGTGACTTAAGCGGTAGGTATGTTGAATTGTAATACGTAGAACTTTCTATGAATATGCTTATCCGACAAGACAAAGGTCATTTTTGAATTCTAGATGAAGTTCAAGAACTTTCGTTGGCATCTTGGCTTGATCTTGGCCATTGGGTCCTCCAGGGTTGCCACTGTAAACGACTTACGAACATGTAATTGAAAGTTGACATCCATGGAAAAAGTATACCAAATCCATCAATCATCATGGGGCTTATTGTGCCGATAAGCGCCCGTGACAGGATTACTCCAATCATTTCCTACTGTCTCATTGAGATACAGATATGTAAAATGAAAAAAAAACAAAGATCTGTCTGATCGACGCCAGCAGGATTTGAACCTGCGCCCTCAAAGAGGAACAGATAGTATGCCACAGGGGATTCTAATCTGTCGCCGTAACCACTTGGCTATAGCGCCTATGAAATCTGTTCAACGCTTTCTTCCCTGGCGAGTATCCCACTGGTTTTTGAGCTATAGCAGATCTCTGTGCATCGCCAATGCATCGACGTACGTTTCCAATAGCTCTAGGTCATGCTCGAATGGCAAGATATAGGCATCTTCGTTTTAAACGAAAAGACTAGATAGTGCGAGCGCTGCTGGGCGTTGAACGTGAGCGCCTTCGGAGCACCTCGACCTCCACCGGTCACGGCAAGGCCATGGTTAACATAAATACTATTGCAGAACCTGCATGTGGTTCCAATAGATCCACGATGCTCTTGAGCTATCTTAGATTGGTTGCGATTCGATAACGCCGCTATGGTAGCTTTGACTCTTGAAAGGATCTAGAAGTGCACCGTCCTCTTTATCTGCGTACAAGGCTTGAGCTTGGGTAAAATGCGTTCACGTACGGCCCAGCCTGTCTCCGCTCCGCACCATGTGCGCCTTGCCTCCGTCCAGCGTCAACACACTCACACACACAAACCTTAATCAACGTCCCATGAAAAGCTATGATTACAGTACAACACCACCATCGCACGCACGTGTCTAATAAAGCACCTTGCTCAGCCGCTGCACCTCTTCAGCAGACATCGCCCTGCCTTACGACCGTCTCGTACTGCGCGTTCTTGAGCGACGGCCGCGTCGTCTCCACGATCCCGCGCACCTTGTCGATCGAGCAGTGCAGCCGGCCGTTCGCGATGAAGCGCGAGAGTTCGCTGTGGGTGCGGTCGGTAAATGGACATCCGTCGTATGGGCGGAAGGAAGGAAAATGGTGCGGGAATGCGTACCTGTCGATGAAGTCGGCGGTGACGCCGAACGCGGCGCTGAGGCTCTGGAGCGTGAGGCTGCGGTAGCTCTCGAGCAGCTGCGCGTACGCGAGGATGCGCATCTCGCGCACGTAGAACCGCGCGTGCGGCGCGAGGATGCGCGACGGGATCAGGTGGGTCTGCTCGAGCGTCGCTGTGCGCACACATCAGCATCAGCATCCGGGACCGGGGAGAGGTAGGAGGTGGGAGATGGGGTAAGCACGCACCGAGGGCGGAGAAGAACTTGTCGTAGTGGCATTCGTACAGGTTCTTCACGAGGTCGCCGAGCACGGGCACTTCGGGCAGCACCTGGTTCACCTCGGGCGCGCCGATCAGCTGGGAGAGTATTTAGTTGTGGCATGGTTTCTGGGTGTAGGTGGAGCTTACCCGCTTCTTCAGGTCGACCCGTTTCAGGGTGAGCGCGTTGGCGATGACGGTGAGGGAGACGAAGTCGTTGTACGCGAGGAGCTCGGTTGCGGTGAAGGTGGAGATGGCGTCGAGCAGGAGGGCGCCGCCGCGCGCGAACTCGCGGATCGAGATGAGGTGCAGGCCGTTGTACACTTTGAGCCGGTTGCGGCGGTCCCAGTCGCCGCCTTCGTCGATCAGCCTGCGGACGGCGATGAGGGTTGTGGATCGGGAGACGGAATGAGTGGTGTGACGTACTTTTCGGCCTTGGCCATGTTTGTGGTGACCACTTCCGTGTCGCTGAAGAAGAAGCCGATGCGCACGATGGTGAGCACGATGTCGATCCGCGAGCCGAGACCGGGGGTCTTCTCGAGCGCGAGCTTCTGCGCCTCTAGCGAGCGTTCCTGTTCGTGGTTAGCGGCGGCGTCTATGAGAGCGGAGGTATTGGTGTGCACCTTGTCGCCGATCCGTGTTAGGTAGTTGGCCCTCGCCTTGAGGGCGTCTGAGATCTCCGACTCTCCCTCTGTCTTCTCCGCTTCCGCGAGGCGCTCGTCGAGCTTCTTCAGCTCTTCCTCATTGGCCTTCTCCAGTGTTGCTAGTAGGGCCTTGTCAACGGGAAGGACTGACGAAGAGGCGGTGATGGACTTGTAGTACGGCGCCATTTCTGTGGATGCAAACTATCAGACACAGTTATTGGGACGGGAAGCTGCACACACCGTCGCCTTGATCGCCTCTAAGAGCTCTTTGCGTGCTTGGCATGCAGAGGTTGTAGTTTGGGTTGGTGAGGACAAAGACATTTTGCGGGACAGTGAGGTTGGGAATGGGGAGCACGATTTCGTCGGCCATGGCGGGGAGGAGATGAGGAGTGGCTATATAAATCAAGTGCCAGGAGACGCGTCAGCCTTGGGGTTCCCACGCCCTCGACGCGTGTCCCTCTGCGTCCAGTGCTCGTCCTCCTCTTCATCCACCATGGCCACCGTCGCAGATCTCTTCAAGCACGCAGAGTCCGTGTCCAAGTCAACCCCGCAGAGGCGGAGAACATCTACAAGCAGATCCTCTCCAGCGCCTCCGGTCCGCCCCTTCCCCTCGCATCTCTGCACAAACGCTGACCTATACTTGTACAGTTTCTTCCACAACACCCAGAGACGAAGACCATGCGCAGGACCTCCGCGATCAGGAGGTGGCCCTCGTCAAGCTGGGCGAGCTCTACCGCGACACCAAGTGCGCAACTCCTCTCCGACATGCACTCCGTTCCCGTCCTGATCTCGTTCTAGGAATGCACAGGGCCTCGCAGACGTCATCACCCAGTCCCGCGCGTTCATGTCGTCGACCGCCAAAGCCAAGACGGCCAAACTAAGTGCGCACGTCCTTCGCTTCCCTAGCTTGCCTGCTGAGACCCGCTGCAGTTCGCACGCTGCTCGACTACTTCAATGCGATCCCCAACAGCCAACCGGTGCAGATCAAGACGCTCACCGACAACATCGCATGGGCCAAGAGCGAGAAGCGCATCTTCCTCAAACATAGTTTGGAGACACGGCTTGCTGGGATGTACGTCCTATCTCCTTCCTCGTCCTTTCGTCCATCTGACGCCCTAAACCAACCTCGACTCGCAGTCAGCTAGAAACCCAACAATACAAAGCCGCGCTCGCCCTCATCGACACCCTGCTAACGGAGCTCAAACGACTGGACGACAAAATGATCTTGACAGAGGTCCACCTCCTCGAGAGTCGTGTATATCGCGGAATTGGGAACTTGGCAAAGGCAAAAGTAAGTCTTGCATCTTCCATATCCTTTCTGCCATTTTCTCCAATACGAGGATATATCACCGTCATCCTCATTTCCGCCCATTCCATACATACGAATGCTCACTTTGAGTCTACAGGCTGCCTTGACCTCCTCCCGCACCGCCGCCAACTCAATCTACTGCCCACCCGCGCTGCAAGCATCGCTGGACCTGCAATCCGGCATCCTCCACGCGGAAGACAAGGACTACACCACCGCATACTCCTACTTCTTCGAATCCTTCGAGAACCTCTCATCCCTCGGGGACGAAAGCGCCTTGGGCGCCTTGAAGTACATGCTGCTCTGCAAGGTCATGCTGAATCTGGTGTGTGCGCTTCTTCGCTCTTCTCGCCGTTTTTGACCTTGCACGGAAAACTAAACAATGGGGCGCAGCCGGAAGACGTGAATTCGCTGCTGACTATCAAGCTGGCGCTTAAATACGCGAATATGCGGGATGTGGAGAGCATGCGCGCGATTGCGCGCGCGCATCAGAATCGGAATCTGGCGGATTTCGAGAAGGCGTTGAGGGATTATCGGGAAGGTGCGTTGCGTTTACTCCTCCTTCTTTCCGGTTCTGTGCATGTTGTCGGTTCTGGCTTCGCCTCCTGGTCCATGTCATCTTCACTCTTCCTTTCTTCCTCTGCCTGCTCTTTCCATTACCTTCGTGAACGTGAAATCTCAGGATATTGACACCCCTTTCCTTTTCCTTGTAGAGCTCTCCTCTGATCCAACGATCCGTTCCCACCTCGCCGCGCTCTACGACACGCTCCTCGAGCAAAATCTGCTGCGCATCGTGGAGCCCTACTCCACCGTGGAGATCGACTACGTCGCGGAGACGGTCGGGCAGGAGCGGCAGGCGGTGGAAGCCAAGTGAGTTGCCGTTTCGTGTTCAGTTGCCGTTCGTGTTCAGTTGTTCCGTTTCGCATTGCGTTCTGCGTCTCTTTTCCACCCACGTTCTGTCCACATTTCCTCCACGTTCTGTCTATATGAGCTGACGACGACCCCTTTTTTTTTCTTCCGGAAAGGCTTTCGCAGATGATCCTGGATAAGGTGTTCTACGGCGTGCTCGACCAGGGGCGGGGCTGTTTGCTGGTGTATGACCAGCCCGAGGCGGATGTGAGTGTTCCTTTCGGCCCGTTGGCATCTCCGTTGCGTTCTTTGCTATCATCCACTGCGCGACCGCTTCTATTCCCTGCCCTTACTCTGCCATCCATTTTTTTCTCGCTCTGATCGTACTTACGCGTGTTGTTTCCTCTATGCAGAACACATACGGCGCGGCCATCGCAACGCTGGCGCAGGTGGGCAAAGTCGTGGAGTCGCTGTACGCCAAGGTGCGCTGCTTGTCCGGTTCTTTGACTTTTACCCCCTCTAACGGTCGTTGTTAGACTGTCCGGATTGCGTAGAATAGATTTCGCCTTTGTTATGTGTAGTTGTACTTGATCATATCGCGCTTTCTCTCTATGTTGACATTGCTGAGCCGTTAGTTGAGTGAGTGAGAAATGAACGAAGGATATCCGTCGTCGAAGCATCGTCAACTCATCATACACTGCATTTGTGAACCAAAAGTCTCGTCGCTAGAGGTTCGACGTATAGCTAGGGCAAAATAACTATCATACAGGTGTAATCAACTAACGAGTGGTATATAAAGCGTACAATATAACAATGACTAATCTACAGTGCAAAAAGTATCCGACAACATCACGACGCCACACAACATCACTTCCCCTCCCGCCCCCCGTCATGCTCCGCACACCACCCGCACCCTTTCCCCGCCGCGCCGCCCGCCCTGCACGACGCGCCGCGCGGCCCAGTTCAAGCCGAACACGATGAACTGCAGGCTCATCAGCACGCCGACGAGGAAGCAGATCAGGAGCACGCCCTGCGGGAACGTCGCGAACGCGATCAGCGCGAGGCACGCGGTGAGTGCGCACGCGGCGATGAACATGCAGAGCGCGGGCACGCGCGCGGAGAGCGCGAAGAAGAAGT